GGGGGGGGTGGTTTGAGGGTTGCTGCAGACTTCCTTCCTTGGCTCTTTTTCTACTCTGACCTCAGTTTTCACATAAAGGAAGTGATTAAGGACCACCCATCATATACCTTCATCCTTTAGGATCAGTTTCTGGAGGTAAAAACCTCAGGACTGCTATTAAATCCCAACTCATTCTTATTTGCTGGTCACATGCAGACTGGAAGTCTGTCTGAAAATTGCCAGAACATGTGCCAATGGTATCAGCAGGAATGTATGTAGAATGAGTAAGTCATTATAAAACTGATCAGTATTATTTATTGATGTATCCATGATTGTTGACAAGGAGCTGGTGCTCCTTCCGTTGCTGAATACTTAAGAAATACAAGCATCTTGCAGTTTGCAGATGATAAACTTCTTTCCAAGTATTTTAGTTGGCTCTGCATGCCCTGAAGTTGATCCTTTCTGTTGATGTATTACTTCAGCTATTGCAGAAATATATTAAGCTCTCCGAGCTTGGGATTACTTCAACAACAGTCAGTGTCTTTCCAGTTGCCTTTTAAAGAACTGTGTAAAGCAAGACACCTCTACAGATTCTGAAGAAATGCAGCATCTTGTTTATAGATTTGTACACAGCTGTGCATGCATTTAAGCACACATCAAATGGGATAATATGGGTGTATTTTAGGGGAGCGTGTTCTGTTTCTCTTTGTTATTAAAACTTCTGTTATAAACCAAGAGAGGTTGCTATAATATATTTATTGTTGACCCTGGTCCTTGAGTAAGATCCCTATGAGATAATAATAACATTATTTACTCCCATAGTTTGGAATTGTGCATTTTTTCCCTTCAAAATTAAAAAAAATCCTGGTCCCTTTTGGTTCTTGCCCACTACATAAAATGGTAGTCGCATTTTAGCAATTGCTCATAAGAGGGATTGCTGTATTTTGTGGTTAGGTCACTTTTCATCCTCTAAATCAGGCAGGAGCACCTGAAGGAAACCTACAAGAGATGATACAAGGGCGTGGAGTGATAGGACAAAGGGGAATGGCTTCAAGTTCACAGGGCAGGGTGTGTTTAGGTATTAGGAAGAAGTTCTTTCCTGTGAGAGCGGGGAGACCCCAGCACAGGTTGCCTAAAGAAGTGTGGCTGCCCCATCCCTAGAAGTGTCCAAGGCCAGGTTAGACAGAGCTTGGAGCAACCTTGGATAGTGGAAAGTGTCCCTGCCCATGGCAGGAGGGTTGAAGTGAAATGTCTTTAAGGTCCCTTCCAACCCAAACCATTCTGTGACTCTGTGATTCTACTTCAGTGGTAATGTTTGTAGTAATGCAATAGGCACAGCTGGGGAACACAAGTCATCCTCTGCCCTCCTTCTCCCAGTGTACAAATATATGTGGCTTCTCTTTTCAGCCATGTGGTTACCATGTTAGAAATGTGGCTTTGGCACCGCTGCATGTCTGGTATAATATGGTTCAAATTTCAAAGAATCATCTGGGAGCCTTTGGGAAAGACACATGTGGCATGTGGCTGGGATCATAGCTCAGTGAGGTACCATGACTCTTGCTTCTGTTCCCAACTGAGGACCTGTTGGTACCATCTTGTCAATTAAATTAATATTTGAAAGCAATTTTAATAAGTATGCCATCATAATTACCTTTGTGTCTACAAATTAGGTATGCAAACATACTCTGTTCTCATACAGAAAACAGTGTGAGCTGTCAGTAGTCTTACACCATGGTGAGAGATTTGAGTCACAGTCATCTGGATCTAGGGGTTTGTTAATTTGTTTTCTGTGCCTCATCTGCGATTCAACCGTCACTCCATATCACAGTCTGAACCACTCACTACTCTGAACAGCTCAGAATGGGAGGTCTCTTAGGAGGATTACTGCAACTGTTGAATTTCTGAGTACATATAACAAATTGATTTGTTTCTGCCCGTTAATTGAGAGCCATTGCTGTACAGCATACTTCTCAAAGTTTCCTTTTCTGTTCCCACTTCAAGATAGTTGGGCCGTACCAAGTTTGTAGACTTGCTGTTTTCTGCCATCTATTCTGCTTCCTTGCCATGTAAATGTCATTTAAGGAGAAACCCAGTTAAGTTTAACTGGTAGGACTGAGCTTACATATGTATAATGTCAATGTTTTATTTGGCCCAGTCTCCCTTCTGAAGATGCTTCTGCATGCTTTTATTACTATGTAGCATACACTGGTGGCAGTATTAATTTTGTTTAGAGCATGCAGAGGGCTTTTAAAATGAGTTTGACAACAGACTTAATGAACACTTCTATTTGGTATTTTTTTAAGCTTCTAGATATTTCCATGTACAGCTGACAGGACATGCATGCAGTGCAGTAGAGCACTGTATTTTCAAACGCAAGCAGGAAGAAACAAAGTATTAATGTTGACAGTTTAAAAAAAAAGAAGAAAATTCCTTCCAAACTTTCTCATGCCCTGATGTGAAGGGGTTGAATGTGCATATTGCCTTCCGGGAGAACTGGTGTCATTTCCTCAAATGGGTAAAAGACCAGAACATTTTAACCCGCGTTGTACCACACCATGCAAGCAGTTTACAAGTCTCTGTTATTAAAGGAGATTGACTCATTTTAGTAATTCAGTTTAATTTAAGAGAAGAGTTAATAAAAAGTCTGCTGCAAGAAATTCATACCTGCCTTGCCCAGAAGCTATTCTGATTAATTTCCTTAATAATACCATCATTATCCTCTGTCTTTAATCTATCCTAGTCCTTGTTTGATGATTTCAGATCCACCTTCTGTTTATATCATAAAGTGACCACAAAGCAGATCAGAGTTGCCCTTTTTTTAGTCTAGTTTTTGGCTCCTTATTTGCAGGGCCATATTATTTGGACGTCTTCCCCTCCAAGGCTCACATTAGGCAGAATGCCTTATGTTTAAAAATTTACCACTATCTGAAGATTCTGAGGTCCCATCTTACCCTCTTCCATGGTAAGCCTTTTAAAGAAGTAGCATGGACTATTAAAACAGCTGTGCTTGATGTTTATTTAGCACTACTCTTTAGAGAACTCCTCTTTTTAATCCCTTTCTCAGCAAAAATATGGCTATATAAAATACAGAAGTCACTGTTTGTGTTGGTCTGCTTGTGTTGAGCTGCAGAACAGGCAGTTCAGAACATGCAGCTTGTGTAGGAGATGGAAACTTTGGCATCATAAAGATACTGCTATAAAGCACCCATATCATACAAATAGCAAAGAGATGCTGGAATTGCAACAGTTTGAGGATTAATTGATTAGTTCAACACGTTTTTCATTGTGTTACCTTGTTTTCTTTGTGCCTTTGAAAGCTACTATACAGTTGCTGGTAGAGGGTGGCAGGTGTGGAGAATTGGTCACAATTGCATGATCACCATTCCTGGTGACCTTTGCCATTTGGTGTACAGGGCCAAAGTAGCACTGTTACGTTTTGTGGAGATAGGCAACTGTCCTTCAGTTTTATTTGGTTTGTGAATTCATGTGTTGTATGCTGTGGCTTTGGATTGGATCTCTTCAGATTTGGATTACAAAGATAAGTGAAATAATTTTCTAACTTAATGTAAACTTAATAAATTTTACACCAAATACTTCATACAAGATTAGATTTTTGGGAAAAAGAGGAAGGTAGTGAGGTCCTTAGAGGGATGCTGTCACATTTGACTCTTCCATCTCTCCCTAACTTCTCTCTTGCTCAATTCTTCTCACTCTCTGCCATGGGAGTAACACTCTGTGTGACCTCACTGGTTGGGTTTGTTTAACTGCAGTTTAAGGAAGGCCCTGAGCAAGAAACGAGGAAAAAAAGACTTCAATTTTTAGTTCTGGAAAATAGTAAAAGGCTTTTAAATAAGGCCTGAAGGACTTCTAATTTGCCAGAAGTATGAAGACAAGTTTATATCCTTTGTAATTCACCCTAATTGAAAGGATGTATATTTCTTTTTCTAAAGTCAGCAGAAAAATCTTCACCTCTTAATGATGAAAGTTTTTTTAAAACTTTCTCCTAAGCACAAATAGCTGAAGTTTCCACTTTAAACTTGGGTGGCTCATCCATATTCCACTTAATGGTAATATGGTATTCTCTCTCTCTCTTCCCTCCCTTACCACCAAGATTAAATAGGAGCGGGGGGGGATATAAAATGTTTCTGAAAATTACAGGAAATGTCTGTTCCTTAAACAGCTTTGCCAGGGAATTTCCAAATGTGCTTAATATTTATGGCTGAAGTTGCAGCAGCTCAGTCTTCTATCATGAGTGGATCCTGTTCTTAAAATGTGACACCTCCTTCCAGTAAACTGTGTTGAAATTAAGTGTATACTTTGTTTCTCATCTCCTCTTCAGCAGAATTAATCATGCCCTGTGGTGAAATGAGGGCTCTCGGGGGCTGCTTTAAACACTTGATTTAATGTATTTACTAAAGTGGGGAAAACAGAATATATTGTCCTGAGGTGAGAGCTGGTTTATTTTTAAGAACATCAGAGGAGTGTGGCTGGCAGAAGTAGTCATGACATGGCATGGATGGCACAGAGAGGCAGGTATGGTGATGTGAAGACTACCTGACAGCTTTCACAGGGACTTGAGGGAGCTGCACGTGAAGCACTGAGGAACAAAAGGGGAGACGCTTTTTTTCTCTGGACTTTGTTTCTTTGGGCTGTCACAGGGTGGTCTCAGATCATAGCGCCCTGTCTCTAGGCAGAGCCTAATCACTGCTGAGCATTAGTTTAGTGTTAATTTCTGGGATGAGATTAGAAAAGGGAATAGCAACAAATATGACAAGAAAGATGAGTTTTCTTCTTGTTCTCTGTTGCCTTCTGCCACTGGATTATGGGAAGGAGCAAGGGAGGTCTGTAGAGCTGCTTCCTGAGGCTCAGAAAGGAATGAGACTCTGGAGCAGGCAGAGGGGGGAAAAGGACCCAGCCTAATCTTCAACAGATCTTCTCATTGAGCTCTCTGCCCTGCTACTCTCTCGTACACATGCCTGAATACTAATGATGGGAAGAGAGAGGATCTCCAGCCTGGGTCCTTCCAGGGGAAAACACAGGGTCCCAGTCAAGAGATGAGCCTAGAGAGCAAAGCCTATTCTGGGTCGTAACCTCGGTATCTGTCTGAAGGGTTCTCACCCCATATTCTACCACTGCCATTTGCCTAAAGACAGAGAGGTGACTGATCCCTGTAGTTCTTTTCCTTGTGGGATGCTGTGGGTTTTCAGGCTGTTGACCATAACATGCCTGGCCCTTTGCTGGGGTGGCACTTCTCAGTTGTCATATAATTTACTCCATGCTTCAGAGCCACTCCTGGATCTCACAGCAGAGCACTGTTTGGCAATAATTTATTGTCATGGTTTGTATCACAGTGATTAAGGGGAGCTGTCATTTCTTGGCAGCCATGATTTGAATTTTGGGATTAGCTGCCCAGGGGACAGTTTGGAACTGACACTGATGTGTTTATTTTTGCTTCCTTGTGTAGAAGTTGTAATTTAATTTGCTCCTGTTGGAACAGCAGGTGCTTTGGGTGGAAGTCGTATGGGTATGACTGTATGTAATGATTGGTGACACTAGTGTTACCAGTTTCCAGTGCTGGCTTTTTTAGAGTGTGGGGAGATAGGCTTAATTACACGAATGTCCTGTTTCATTGGTCTCTGTCCGTGCAAGATACAATTGTATTCACACTTACTAGTAGCAATCTTTCACATTAATACTAGTACTAGATTAGTGCTGATGTGACTGTGAATTTGTTTAATTCCATACAAATGCATCACCTGTTAATGCTGAATTATACATTGGTTGTCTAGCAGTGAGAAAGGTCAAAGAGTTTGAAAGGCTCTCCCTGGTTGTTTTTTTTGTTTCTTGGGGATTTTTAAAGCATCTCTAACTTTTATTTTTTAAAATTTCAATTTAAAGATAGCAGAGACATTTATTCTTTTTTCTTTCAGAAAATCAGTGTAGTGTAACTCTCTGTTTTGGACCCATTCCATGTAAATGAATATCAGCCTTCATAAATAACTTCTCACCTAGGTTTTCCTGTGTTTGGGGGAGTTGTACAGCAAATGACTGCACTGAAAGTGTAAAATCCATTTCCTGGTTTGGCTTGGGGGGGTGTTTGTCTGGGTTTTTTTTGGTGCTTTTTAATCTTGTAATAAGGATTTTATTATTATTTTCCTGTGTTTAGGTAATTCCTTCTGCTGGCCTTTGTATGTGGACCACATTCAGTCCTGTTCAGCCCATATAAATTGTAACTTAAATGTAGGTGAGTAACAGCATTTGACATGAAATACTAATGCATTCATAAAAAATTCATACTCCAGTATTTTCAGTTGCTTTGACTTGGCGGTCATAGAGTAAGAATCATCTTTTAAAAATCCATTGACACTTTTCCTGGTTGTCTAGTGTCCCAAGCAATAGGAACCTAAAAATGTAATGTATTATAGTATATGCTTGGATTAAGTAATCTTTCATTCTGGTTGCCACAGACCTATATGCTGTAGACCTGCAGTGAAAAAGTATTTTGAAATGGAAAGAGCTTCTCGCTCGTATGGGTGGAGAAGGGAGTCCCCAGATTAAGTCTGAGTCTCTTTTGAATAGAGTGATGTAATATATCAGCAGCATGTTCTAATGCTTCCCGTGAGGCCATGTTCTGCCAGTCAGGTTTCCCTGTGGTCACACTTAATAAATGTTTATTGTTTCACTGGGAATTTTAAAGAGATTGGCTTCTTGGTAAAAGCAAGTGGCGATAATCTGGCTTATTGCTTAGAGATGGTGATGGTACACAGGTGATATTTGCAAGAACATTGCAGGTATTTGAGAGCTATGCTGGGCAGGTCAGGCAAATGTGGTGGTTTGGTGTGCTTTTTGGTTTTATTTTGAAATAATTTTATTTCAATATGAGTAACTGTATGACAGAAAATATCTGTTATCTAAATGAAAGGCCCATTCCTCTTGCTTAGCCCAGCTGTCTCAGAGTGACAATGAGCAGTAGGTGTAGAATTAGAGTGAGCTTAAAGATCTTAACTGGAAGTCTTTTATGCAGTATAATTGTGGGAGGCTGATTTCTTTTCTGACTCTCTCTGTGTCTGTTTTCAGATTGGTGAGCACAATGAAGTGGGGACACTTTTCTTTAGAACTAGTAATCAAAGTTGAGTAATTAGTCAAGCAGGATGAAGGACACAAAAGTACTGAACAGAAAATCCACCTTCATCTATTTTCTTTTCCAATGCATTACACTTGCATTTCTCATGGTTGTAGAGTGTGTAATCTAAAATGTGACTGGTGTTTCTACAAGGAAAAGAAAATTAACACTATGCATTTTTTACTGCATATATAGATCAAACAGACAGTGTTAAAAGTAGGAGAAGAGGGAGCACCCATAGATAAGCAAAGGAAAACAGGGTAGAATTTTTTTAACTGCTTCTTTTTTATTAACATGGTACATGAGTGACATTAGAAGAAAAAAATAAAATCTATGTTTCTGTTTAAGTGACTTTCTGTGCTGCTGTCCTGTCTTGCACCAAAGTGGAATGTGCTCAGAGGGTGGTGGAAAGTATCTGTTCTTCAACCTCTCTGCCAGGAAGCATGAAGAAATGATGTGTTTATGAGATAGTGACACTTACTTGAATCATCCAAAAAGCCCAAGACACCCTCATTCCCCTGAGCTGAGGGAATGACATGAGCCCTTGTTAACAGAGCTCTTTGAATTTACAAGCATTTGCTATCTCACTCTAGTGTGTTCTGTGCAATGACAGGTAATACATACGCTTCTCTAAATTCAGATAATGATTTTTTTCCCCAGACTTTGAACTTTATTACACAGTTGTTGATCTCTGGAATTTACTGGCTTGCTTACCGAATGTAAAAGAACAGCTATTCCTCACTGTCAATTAAAAATTTTATTTCCCTTGTGCTCCATAGACACTCTGTTTCTGGCTACTGAGTAACATCTTGAACAAGGGTTGGACCTGTCTCAGCTGTTACTTATTCTCTCATAGCACTGAGAAAAGGAACCATTCAGAACACAATTTATTTCCATCTTTTTGAGGGTGGTGAGGGAATGCTGTGCCTGTTGCAGGTGTTGGCAGAGGGGAGAAGGTATTCTCAGGAGTAGGAATTCACCCTGTGATCCCTGGATCTGGAGTTCCTCTCTAGTTCATGTAGACTTGTTTGTCCAGTATCAGGTGTGGCTGTGGTAATAGTGACTGGTGCTGATGGTATTGGCACCAGCTGTTGAACCACTGGCCACTCCCAGTAACACTGGAGCCAAATACCCCTTTTGAAACTGCCAGCAGTAGCTTCTGTCCTGCAGTTTGGGATGCTCTACATTTTATTTTTAATTTAGCTCTTCAATTTTTCTTTTACAATTGTGCCCACCCTAAGAACCATGAAAAAGACTCTAGGGGATGGTAATGTTTTTCTCATATGTACATGCGTTTGCCTGTAAAAAGTAGAAAAAGACATGGTTTTAAAAAAACAACTACTTCAGGTGTTTCAGCTGAGTTCATAAAGGCTGCACATCAGGACCTTGTTCAGGTGCTGGAAAGTGTTTTTGTTGGTGTTTTGCATGATGGGAGCACTGCTGCAGGCTCCTGACAAAGCAGGCATTAGTGACGTAGCCACACATTTATGACTGCAAGGTTCAAGGTTATCTTCTTATATGAGGCAGAAATCTTTCAGAGATTGTAGCAAGGCTTCGAGAAGCTCCTTGCTAGTTCCTTAACTGGGGTAGAATTAAAGTCTCTTGCTCTGAGAGTTTTTAAACTATATTCCTAACACATCTGCCTCTCATCCCAGGAAGTATTTTAAAGATGTGTAGATGTGGAGCTTAGGGACATAGCTTAGTGATGGACTTGGCACTGTTACTTTAACAGTTGGACTTGATGATCTTGGAGGTCTTTTCCAACCTAAATACTTCTGTGATTCTGTATGAGGCAAAACCTGAGAACTCAAACAATCATCCTGTTGTGATGGAAAAGAATTGCTTGGAGTCAAAGTGACAGCAGTAGAAATCAGGAGTGCATACAAAATGTGAGTTACTGTAACTGAAAAACCAAACACAACCACATAACCAAAAATGTGGCACTTGCTTGTTTCACTGCATCTGAGACAGTTGAGATGGGGACAGGAATCCCTGAGGTGAGAGATCCTGTAGTTCTGTGGCAGCATTAAACATACATGTAAACTTCAGTAATCCACTGTTGTTTGTATGCAAGATAATAGGAGGATTCTTGGTTTGGTTCTTTAAACAATAAGAAAAGGCTGTAAAGGTACTAGGGAAGTGTGGAACAGATCTTTTTCATTTCAAAGTGAGTTAAATGTTGAATTTTCTGTTTTAAAAGTGCTAGTATTGCAGTCTCTCTAGAAGAAGGAAGCAGCCATGCAGTGTTCCCAGTGGGTACATGAATCACTATTCTCATGGCTCAGTTACGGATCACTTTTCATAATCTTGCTTTCAGCACGGAGCACCCTGTGGCTAGGATGGCTTCCTGGCTTTAAGGTCAGCAGCATAATGGCCTGTCTGGGACAAAGCATTATATGACATTGTTTTACAAGACACTATAATACCATTGAGGTCTAAGTCACAAGTAGAAAGGGAACAGTCAATAATTTGAATTTTATCTGTTTCCAAATGCATTAGAAATTAAACACATATCTCAATACCTCATAGAAGCTGAATGATAAGAGCAGTCATGAGGAAGGGGATGAATGCTCAGAGTAAGCAAGAGGCTTCCAGTTCTTCTTGTTTAGATAGGTCCCAGGGAAGAGTTATAAACTCTGATAGTTCCAGAAACAGACAGAATTAAAAGAAAAACCTGTACTTCATAAAATTGTTGTTTCTCCCCTGTACCATTGAGAAGTTCCTGTCAAAATAAGTCTTCAATTGGAATAACCCGAGGTGACATTACTGTTAAATTTATTGCTTTCAAGCCATGGGCAGAATTCTTTCAAGGTACTTGGTATGTTAAGGTAATAGGGCTATTTAAAAGCATTCTTGACTGAAGCCCACTTGCCATATGTTCTTTACATGTTCTTTACCCTGTAATCAGATATGACTGGTTCAAGTTCTTCACAAGAATCTTCTGAAACAAACTTCTGTTGTATGAAAGTGAAGGCTGAGACAGCAAACAGTAAGCTTTTAGAAGAAGCATACCCAAACTGAAAGTTGCAAATTAAAGATTAAGTATTTCTAACAGCATCTGTTTTAGACTTCTGTACTTTCTCAGCTGCTTTATTTTCCCATTATGACTTGGACTTTAAGTCAGCAATTTATCCATCAAAACAAACTGTCTAGTTCATGAACAAACTGTCTAGCTTACAAAGGAGCTGGAGCCAATTCCCACTAGAGCCAGTGGAAGAGTTTTCATTGAGTTCAGTGGATTTGGTATCTGGCAACCTTTGTTGTGAATAAAAGAGAACCAAAATTTGTGACAGGACATGTTAAGAGAAATTTTTAAAATTCCAGAATAGTGTTTTCCTGAAGGGGGAAAAATTGACATAACTGTCAAGATTCCTTCCCCCTCTTGCAAAATGTCATTTTGATAATCAGTTTTCTTTTGATACCTTCCTGAGACTAGTGTATAATGACTGCTCTTTGAGGGGGAGCACACATGCCAACTGGGTTCTTTAAACATTTAATGAAAACTTAGTATAGTATATTTTCCAATATTTTTACTGTCGTTTAGAGCAATATGCATTTCACTGCTATGTGCTTCCATTTATCTGGGCAAGCTCAACAGCTCTGTCAGAAGAGCACTAAATCAGGACAAATGGAAAATCGCTTTTTGTCAGCCTAACATCTGTTTACGTGGAAGCTGGTGTTTTTCTTCTATTGCCACCTGAAACTCATGAATCAACTTCCACTTTCCTATTTTGGGTTGTTAAGGTGAAGTTTGTACTTTTTGCAGAATTTATTTTGCTTAAGATTGTGTAAATGTAGATTTGTGCAATATATCTAAAGAGTAAAACATCTTCAGATCTGGGATTTCCCACTGCCAAATGCAACTGGCCTGTTGATATAACAGGACATTTAATATAAATATATCGATAGTTTGAAGTCATTACTTCTCTTGCAATTAAGGTAAATAACAAACATACATTTCAAATGGAAACAACAAGTCAACTATAAAATCTAAGTTCAAATGTGAGCTAAATCCCTGAAGGACACAGTCCCATGGTGGCTCTTTTCTGAGGAGTGTTCCTACAAGCACTTGTCCTATCTGAACGTGTTTTGGGAGACTCTGGGGAGTCTCCCAAGGGCAACTGTGAGGCAGTGGTACAAAGTGGTACAAAGAAGGGGTTAAAGGTGTTGAGAATTTATTGCTCTGCTGCTGCTGCTCTTTGTTGATGTTGCTCTCTCAGTTGATGTTGCTCAGATGCTGTCAGAATCTAATTTTAGAGAAGTATAGTTTATTTCAGAGATTACTTAGCATGGATGCTGGGAGTTACACACCTCACATAAACATCAAACACATCCAGGAAGAACAGAAGAGTGCTCACTGCTTTACCTTCCAGTAGTGGGAGACCTCATCCATCTCTAGTGATTAATTCAAATAAAGTACTTGTGTCCTGATGTGGCATCTTGTCCTGGTTTCTATTCAAGCATTTGCTTTAGAGAGGTGGATGTAAATTTGGTCCTTTCTTTTGTGTAGTTTCAGTTCCCCAACTTGCAGTGCTGTTTTGTGAAATATTTTCCAAGTCATTAAATGTTAAAAATGTTTAATGTTTAAAACGTTTAAGTGTTTTAAAAACAAATTTTACTTCTTATTAAGTGGTGCAGTGCTAAAATGCATTTAAATAGTTCTAGTTCTGCTATTGAAAGGAATACCATTATTTAGGGCAGTATCTCTTAATTATATTCTAACAATGTCTTGTGAAGAGGCAGAGCTAGTGGCAACAAAAGTCTGCAATTAAGGCAGGGTATGTTGCCTGAAATACAAGGTAATTGTCCAGGCAAGATTGTTGGAATGGATTCAGAGCCTGTAGTTGCCAATGCTCTCTCTAGGTGTTTGGCACATCCAGCAGAGAGGAGAACTCCTCAGGAATGTGTTCATTACATGCTATGGCCCACTGTACAGCTAAGCCTCAGAGCTGAATGTTTTGTTCTGCAAAGTTTCATGGCCTCATCTGATTTGTGTTTTTTGTGTTTTTCATCTTCCCCTTCGTACAGGCTCTCAGTCTGGTGTAAAGCTGATGGGTGGGAGCAAAGGTAAAGAATGATGTAATGCAGCAGCACCCAGAAAGCATCTTTTGTGTGAATTTTGAAATGGCTACTCCGTAGTCATCTCCTGATGAATCAGACGTGAGGGGCTTCTTTGTGGAGCCAACCATTTGAACATCAACTGGAAGCAGGAGGAGACATTCAGTCCAAGAGCTCTCTCTGAAAATGTATTTAACTTTTCTTTTGCCAGTCACTACCAGCATGACCTCATACACTTCTAGTACAATGGTGTGGCTAAGCCTTTGAGTACACAGCCATTACATCATCGCAGCAAATTAGAGAGGGAGGTGGGGAAAGAGGCCTTGTTGTTGTCATGGCCGGTGAGATGATCAGGACCCAACTCATTGTCACCGAGAAGTTGGTGGCTTTGCTGGAGAGCGGGACACAGAAGTTGCTGCTGATTGATAGCCGCCCCTTTGTGGAATACAACACCTCCCACATCCTGGATGCCATCAACGTCAACTGCTCCAAGCTCATGAAGCGCAGGCTGCAGCAGGACAAAATTTTGATCACAGAGCTCATTCAGCATTCAGCAAAACACAAGGTAAAGTCATTTTCCTCTTATTCCTTGTATTTGATTAAAGAGGTGGATGGAAAACAACTTGTAATATTTTTTCCTTATGTATTTCGTTAAACAAAACCCAATAAGATTAAAGGACTGAGTTTAGCTGAGATGTTGCCTGATCAAAGAGAGTATTGGTTACTATTGAGTTTATCATTGGGACTCTTTATAGAATCAGTGACAGAGGTAAGGGGAGGGATTTAGAAATTACTCAGAAAAAGTGTTCTCAGGGTTCTTGTGTGTCTTGCAAAGCAGTTTCTTAAATGTATACAATTAAGGCAGGAAACATTCTCTCCTAAGATTTGAAGGATTCTTGGGGTTCTGTGGTGTTTGGGCTTGCTTAGCAAGTGGTCATTTGTTTGCAAAGAAACTGCCTCTCTGTCAGTCCTGGCTCCTACTTGCTGTTTAAAGGACTTTTCATGGGGGCAATTTGATGAATTTTGGTGTTCGGTTTTTTTTTTGTTTATTTGGGAGGAGGGGTGTGGTTTTCTCTAAATAGTGTTATCAGTGAAAAGAAAATGGCTATGCTGTTTAAAATTAATGTGGGGGGTGGTATTGTTTGGGGGTTTTTTTTATCCATTGATATTTGTTTCACATGTTTTGGGTACAAAAATAATCTACTGCGTTCTTGCTTTGACATGCTAAAAATGAAGCTTTTTATTTTTATTATCTAAAGGGTATTTTTTATATAAAGTTGTCCAGGTAACCAAAATGTATGTGGCTTAGAGGCAGTTTAGGGTCTCTTTTCTGTTTATGTATAAAACCCTCAGAAGCAGAAAGTGAGGCAGGGCCACCATCTAAAAAGCTCAGTTTTTAAACAAATCCACCAGCCTAGCTGAAGGTAGAGCATTTCACAAGTGATATAAAATTACCAAATGATAGAAATTTGTGGAGTGGGCTTCAACTTGCAGCAAATAATCAATTTACAAACTCTCCAGGGATTTAAATCTGAGAGGTTTATTAAGTATGTAAAAAACTTGTTTAATGAACAGGTGCATAAGAAATCTATATATCTGAACTGTTGTTATAGCAAATATGCGGGAAGCCTGATGGAGGTGATAATGTGGTGCTTTTAATCATCTTCCTCCTTCCTGTTTTACTCTGAGTTCCTTGTGTTTCAGATTGAAATTGACTGCAAGCAGGAAGTGGTGGTGTATGACCAAAGCTCTAAAGATGTGACCTCTCTCTCATCTGACTGCTTTCTTACTGTGCTCCTGGGCAAACTGGAGAAGAATTTCAGCTCTGTGTATCTGCTTTCAGGTAAGATGTAACAAAAGAAACCCCTTTCAGGTGACACGTACCAAAAGACCTCTGAAACACTTGAATAAAGAGAAGAAAGGAAATGCTGTTGGTATAGCAGACCTGTACAATTTTGCAAGTGCTGGTATAAACTTCAGTTATGGCAGAGACTTTTCTGTAGTTCTTTTTACATACAGTGACACTCATAATACATGCAGTGCTTAGAAATTGCATCTTACGGGGGATATATTACACATATTCCGTGTAAATGGAAATGGAACAATGCAGAGGTTTTTAGATGCATATGTCCTCTCCTTTAGGGTCAAAAAATAGTAAAATAAATGGGCTTCCCTGGTTTAAGTATTGCACGTGGTAGGAAGAAAACCTCTTCCTTACTGAATTGGTAATTACTAAAATAAGAACAAAGGAAATTATGTCCCAGAGTTATGGAGATTAGTTTGTGTGACATTTTAAACTTCAGCTCATTAAGTGGTAGCACTTTTCCTTCACCCTCTTTTTTTTTTCTGTTTTTTATTTTAAATCCCAGGTCAAAGCACCTATAGAAATTCAATTCCTTATAATACAGGATTTACTGGTCTCAGTGTGTGCTTGTGTCATTATTTCTGTCATGGAACAGTAGACAGTGTTCATAAGAAGGAGGAAGGAGGGGTGTGAAGTAGATCCAAGGCTGAAAGAAGAGGGAATGATGAATTTCAATAAGAAATGCATTGCAGTGACAGTGATCTAATGAGGCATACACCTAGTGTCTGAGAAATGCTGAAACACAGGGACTGAGTAATGGCGAGAAAGGAAATAACTCCAGAGACATGCTTCCTCTTAGCAACAGTATCTCACTACAGTTTATAGTGACTTCAGGTGACAGTGAGAGGTTGTGGTACAGAGAGAACTTTTCTCAACTTGTTTTGAAGGTGATTACAGAGAAAGTGAATAATTTCTGTGCTTGGACATGAGTTTGGTGCTCACGTGAGCTTTACTTACAGTAAACCAAGTGGGTTTTGCTTTGGCTAGGGTTGGTGATTTTGTTTTCTTTGCTGTCTAGGTCAGAATTACACCTGTAGGTGATGGACTACAGTATTAGATTAAGTAACTTTTCTTACATATGAGCCACCAAAAATTGTGTGGTGTGTAGGCACAGTAAATGCTTAATGCAAAAGTGCTGAAATAGGTGGTTAATACTCTCTTAAACTGAAAATTGTTATTTGAAAAATAAGCCAGTCTAGAAACAGTTTGTATCTCCTCAGAAATCCTTTTATTTGAATTCCCAGCTCTGCTCAGCTGTCCTGAGGGTTTTTTAAATAACCTGAAGAAGATTACAGTTCCAGGCAGGAATCAGACTATCCTCAACTTCATTTCCATGATAGAAACAGCTCTCTTGCAACTGAGAGTTAGACCTCATGGGAGGGAGTTGCTGAGGAGGGGCCAAGCACAGGAAAGTACCATGAACTTCTCTTCCTTACACTGTTCCTAACTTGTGTGAGACATGGCTTTGATCTTCTGTCTCATCTGCTGGACCCTCTGAAAGAAATGCTCAGTCTCCACTCTCAGATTTGCCTGTGGCTCTCCTAGGAATGGACAGGACCAGGAAGGGGGTGTTCCCAGCTCCCCAGTGCATCATCTGGGCAATCACTTGTTGCATGTACCATAATGACACTGGGAGAAATGGTTTTGTTCTCTTTTCATTTCCAGCATGTGGTTGTTGTCTGTTCAAAAAAAAAAAAAAAATTAAAAAGTTACCTAAACCACAAGCAAGAAGGTAGTGCACATAAGCTGTGGTGAACTTAGCCACACACAGCTGGTAAGAGTGAGTTTGGGAATTTAATGTGCCAAAATCTTCCTTATAAAAATCAGGACTTTTATTTTAGTGTGTCAAATGGCAAAAATCAGGTTTGAGAATTTCCTCTTACATTTGTTTACATATCTAGGATGGGGCTATTTATGAATGCAGAAACAACTGATGGCTTTAAAACCAGTGAAAAAGGAGGATAAGAAAAAAATGGAAATATAAGGGAATTATCTACTGCTGATCTGTTAAGTGCTTTGTTCATGTGCTTATTTTTTTGTATCTGTTAAAAATCTAGCTTCTCAATGCACACACAAGAAACCTTTTAGGATGTGGGGTGAAGGAGAATTGGGTAGATTCAGTCATTCAGAAAGCTCCTTGGAGTTAATTGATATGTGGCTGTAGGATGCTAGATAAAATATGTTGTGTCAGCAAGCTGATGACGAGCTCTCATAAATGTTTATGGCCCATAATGAAGGCAGGGGTCAGTGTACTGTGTAAAAAGGAAAACCTTTGGACTTAGTTTTCCCTATGCCACTAAATCTGGTTTATTTAAAATAGTGACCTTAAACATTGTGGGGTAGGAAAATATTTTTTGTTGGGATAGAATAAGGGGCAATTAACGAATATCTGAAATTCCTGCCTCTGTTCATGTTGAAACCCCCCATTACTGAGCACTCAGTGAGGTGTTTTTTTATTTAGGTTGTGTATAAAGGTGTGCTCTGCCCTAGAGGTTGTTCTTCATTGAAGTAACTGGTGTAAAGACCTCAAAGGAACCCTTACCAATTAGTTTAAGATCTTGATATAACCTCACAAAAATATTTATAATCTGGTGAGGAATGTTTTCAGGAATTAAATATTCCATTTGATTCTTAATTTTTAACAGTGCACAAAATACTGAAATGTGGACAAAAAGGGCTTAATTCTATTCCCATCATGACATCTACTCCTCTGAGTTAAGTAAGATTTAAACACAGGGATGTCACTTGATTCCTTCTCATATGTTGAGAAATGGATTTACTTGCAGTGGAGTCCTTTTCCTACTTAATAATATTATGATTTTCCTGCTTGCTCTCCAGAAACAGTTAGGAGAGACTAGTGATTTTTGCTTGAATGATCATTATTAAGGCAGTAAACATCAAGAGTCTTGATGAAATTCTATTTCACTATGTGAATGGAAGCATTCATATTCTACTTAAATACTTGTTCTCCCCTGCTTTTAATCTGGTTTAGTTCTGCTTATGCAAGCACAGATGTCTTCGTGACAGTTACCTTTCAAATGTTTCCTGTGAAGAAGGTGAAGCACAGCTTTTTATTTTGTGTTGATTTTTTAAATGTTTTTTAAAATTTTTTTTTGTGTTCAGAACAATTTATCTAAACAGAAGGCTTTCTGAAAAACAGGAAAAAAACCAAAACAAAACCTTTCTCTTTATACAAACTGTCATTAAAAATTGTGATAGCCTAACACTGAAACACTGTATGCCTCCCTCTCAAAACAATGGTTGGTGGGGAGTTGCTTTCTAATCTCTTGCTACCCTTCTGCCTATGAAAAATACCAGTAGTAATGTGATGTAGTGGATTCTCCCTTCACTAGAGCTCTCTGACAAACTCCCACAGAGCACAAAGGAGTAATAAGGAGAAATAAATAAATAAGTTATTGTGGTTTTTTGGGGTCATATGCAGTGGACATTGAAAGGCATCCTAGGCAGAATGAGTTCTGTGAGATGGGACAAAGGTCCTGGAAACAAAGCAGTGAGTGATTACCCAGGGAATGTAACAAAAGGAATGTTTTTGCTGAAACTTCCCAATTCCTTATTTCCCCCTGACCTGTCCCTCACCTGACAAGGTGTGTGTATCAAATGGAACACTTGCATGGAGGATCCAAGGAGAAGGAAGGAAGTCAGGAACTCTTCTTCTGTCTACCTTACCCTGCCATTAATTTTAGAAATATTTGAAACTGGAAGCCCATTTAAAGAAATCTTTAGTGTAAAAATACTGAAGTATCTCTGGGGTACATTCACCATTGTGTTGTCTTACTTGCCTAAAGAAAAGCTAGATAAGAAAAGCCCAGTGCTTTCTCCCTGCTTTATCTTCACAAGAAATATTCCTTGTGGCAGGGGAGTGGGAAATCTGAAGAATATTCTCTTGTTGGTAGAGCTGGTCCTTTCCATGTCCTGAAGGGACCAGGGCTGTGAGACAGGGCTTTATTCCCAGTTTCTGCAGTCCCCTATGTCAAGTAAGGGGGTACCATATGGCTTAGTGTGGACTGAAGACGGCCCAAGGTTTGATAATGTCCTGGCAAACATCATAACACCTTTTAACATTTGGATTTGGAGCTTTATAACTTTCGGTTATAAAGTGTTCTGACTGTTTCCTACATATAAGTCTTTGCAAAGTGCCTCAGCACACCCTAAAATGGTGGTGTCATCAATTAAAATAATCAGGTTATCTGCAAATTGAAGTAAGTAGAGTGAGAATAAGGTGTTAAATATCCTGCCAGCGTTTGGAGGAGGAGACATTGTTGCACAATGATGCCAGCTTTCCTGATACTCTGACCAGTTGATTCCATTAGAAGGAAGCCTCTACAGAGAGAGGTAAAAACCTTGCTGAGGGAGTGAAATATTCCCCAAGTGGTCCCATAACACATGGAATACAGCCAGTGGGGAGGAGTTTACAGTTGGTGAGAAAGAGATGAGAGTGACAGAGAAGCTTAGCTCTGAATCACCCCCTTTAAAAGTCTCCCCCTCCATTAATTTTTAAGAGAGCTCAGGAAAGCTAGTACCCTTGGCTACAGCCAGGCCTCTGTGAATATCCTCCCACCCTCTGTACTTAAAATGCAATTTTCAGTGTTCATTTAGTGCCATAATTGTTTTAAGCACTTGAAGAACGGAAGTAGGGTTTATTACTTTCATATGTGTATCCACTTGTTGTCTTTTGAGAGAGAGCAAAGTTTGACTAGAGTAGAGCTCACATACCATTTCTCAAACCCAAGAATAACTTGTTAAGTTTGCTTTTGTTTTGAATACCTCTGGACGCTTCAGAAATTTAATTGACTGAAATTATGGTGAAGGTTTTTTGGTTTTTTTCCCCTTAAAGGCAGAAAGGGCGAGTGTGGGTGTCCACTCTGCTCTTTGTGCTTGTCGTGCCACTTGGAATATGGCACTTGGGTGGGATGGGAAGCTTGACCCCCTTCTCACACATCTCCCCTTCCTTGTTTACT